TGGGGAATGTCAAGGCCGAGTGACTGAATTCGTTTTGAATTTGAGTCGCACAAGTTCGAAAGGGGGTGTGAAAAATCATCCTATGTATAGCTAGCGTAGCGATCTTGTGCTTGAACTTAGGTAGTTGTTTGTTGCTTTGTAGTTGTAGTTTGTGGACTTGCGTAGTTTGGACTTTGTTTTGTAGTTAGCAGGTGATTGTGATGTAGTTAATCGATCTCATCTCATTCCGTCACAAAGAGTTGTGACGGAGTTGCCATTTTTCGTTTGTAGTTAGCCGTTTTTAGGTTTTCTGCACGTTGTAGGGTATTCCACACGAGAACCAAACTGCACGAAACCAATCTTAGGTTTTTAGGAACCGAGAAACCTGTTTTGCACGTTTCTAGATTGGTAGAATCGTTTTTGCACAATTAAGTTTGTAGAGATTTTGGAATCTCCTTGACTGGACCGGAATCCAGTTTGCTTTACCCACAGAAACTCACTTAGTTTCTGTGTTCTGAACTGTGTTTACCAACGTGAACGTTGGCTCAAGCCTGCGAGAGCGAAAAGTGTGTGAGTGTGTCGCCGTGAGACGGCCTGGGAGAGTCGATACTGCAGAAACGCGAAACGATCACCGTTTGTTTGTGTTTTGGTTTGGGTTTACTTTGAGCACGAGAGGTTTGAAAGCGGTTTTTGCGATCTAACTTTGTGTGTCAAAGTTTTACGATGTCCTGAGCCACTATTCTCAGCGCGCTGCCCGGGTAGACCTTCTTGGCCTCCTTTTCAGTAAGAGGTTTCAATGCGGCCCACATTTTCTTCCTCTTTGAACTGCTCTACAAAACTTGATTCACCCTTGCAGTCGATCCAAAACTTTCCAAAAATGGTCTTAAATCTGAAAGGAACCGTTGGTTTGGATGTCTGTGCGCCGAATTCACATTAGGCGAAGGTCTTCTGGTCGGTAAATTTTTGCATCTGCCACAACAATGCTGGCACCTCTGCATCCGTCTTCCCCAAATCTCCGGAAATTTAGAAAGAAAGGCTGCATCCAGCTCGTTGGCCAAGTCAGCCAACTCCGACACTGTGCCTTGTGCGGCTTGCTGTAGCTTCTTCGCAGTGAGTCAAGGGAATCCATCAGGGTGCTCTCTCGACCTAAATCGGCCTTGGGCCAGGAATTCTTTGTAAAGATGCCTTGCTCTGCTGTATGTGGAGCAAGGTGCGGTGGCAATGATGCAAAAGGTCTGAAATCCGAATAAACCGGCCAGAGCTTCCAAATTTCACGAACATCCAATCTTCGGCGATGTCCTGCAAAGATGTAGATCACTTTGAGCTCTGGACCTGAAACCTGTGAAACTCGAACTTGCCGGCTGTACATCCACCTCAATGTTTGCCGCAGTTTCGGCTTCTGGGGTGCCTAATGCTTTGAGGAATGCACTATCAGGCAGCACTGCGGTGGGTTCGCTATGGCTGATGCGGCGCCGCGGAGTCATTGTCGCTTTCCTCGTGATGTCTGATTCAACCGCACGGGAACAATCTTCTTCCTGCACAGCTGCAAACTAAATTCCAAAACCCAATGTGCGACATCGGCCATACTCAAGGAAAAAAAATCCAACACACAATGTGGGTGTTTTTCACCAATGCCCTGAGCATAGCAGCCCTGTTGAGGAGAAACGGGGAACACCAAGCTACTTCGCCTCTTGTTTCAGTTTGATCTCCTCCTCCCACGAGCACTTTCTTCCAAGCAGACACACTGCTTGCCAGAGAGTCCGGCTACAAACCAAAGTCGTCCCTGAGTGCACCACAGAGACTGGTTCGATCGTCTGCTGTGGAACTGAATCTCTTCACTGTTCGATGTAAGCGCCGCCCAAGAAATGTTGACCAATCCTGTGGAAGAAAACAGTTTTGGACTTCTGACTGAGTGAGATCTGCTACATGGAGGACTTTGCATGTTACCTCACAACCAAAGGGAGGTCGCTAGAGGCGGCAGGCAAGAGGGTCATTTTTGCTGTCAACGCTGACATTGCAAAGGCCCACAGACGTGTGCTTGTGAGACCGTCGGATTGGGGTGCTCAAGCTTGCAAGACATCCAGTGGATCTTCAGTTGTTTAGGTTAACAAGGTGGGTACATTTGGTGTCGCTTCAGCGGCTTTCTGGTGGAGTCGTTTAATGGGCTTTGTTGGCAGGCATGCGCTAAATGTTATGGGAAAGGACTGGATATTGTTTTGACTTTTGTGGACGACTTGCATATTGCGGCAGGCGGCAGAAATAGGTGGCTGTCAATCTGGCATTTTCTGGTAGCCATGGAGTTGGTCGGACCTCCCTTTTCTTACAGAAAATTTCGGGGGCTTTGCGATGGATTATGTAGGCTACTGGATGGATTAAAGCCGATTTTGAAATGGGCATCTCAGAGAAGAGGACCGCCTGGCTGGTAAACTTTGTTGACAAGCTGGAGGCAAGGGGTTGGCGTGATGGTAAGGCGCTTCCAAGAATTTCATGGAAGGCTGGGCTTCTCAGCCCAGGTATGACCAAAAGAATTCAGGTGTCATGGGAAGACTTAAGGTTTCCGATGATCGACCTCTTGATTGCCTTCACTGAATCTTTCTCGAAGAGATGTGAAGCTGCCAGCCACTGCAAAGGATACCGGAGGAAATGCCAAGTTTCAGAAATCAGAATGGGAATGATGGTCTCGTTGGCATAGGGGTTTTAGCTCCTCCATTTCATCCCGACCAAAATGGCTGCGGCTTTTCTTTTACGAAAGAATCCAGTTTGATCGATGCTCTTACGCATCCGTCACGTGACAGAGATGGCATTTCTCCACCTTTGCAGTGAAAAAGAGAGGAGCGCTTCATCTGGTTTTCTTCACGTGCTTCTGTTGCTTTTGTAAACTTGAATTTACGTGCACGCGTAGCGTAATATGTTTTAAAACCGGAGTTGGGTAGTGTAACGTACCAACGGGTTTGTTTCTTAGAAACCTCAGGTGGAGGGGTGGGTTGTTACACTCACGTACGTTGGCCCTTACCACAGTTGCGACAAATGATTTCGTTTCAACAACGTTGTACATAGTAACCGTCTCACGTAGTCACCCAGTTTTACCTGGAGTCTTATCCAACTTTTTACGTTTACGTTTGATTTATTCGTTTGCGGTTTTACCCGCTAGTAATTCCGTTTTCGTTTGCGTTGCGACGTTCATTATAGCGACACGTTTCCGCGGCGTCAAACAAATTGGGTTTTACCCCAACATACTTGAACAACAGCTTGTCAGTTGATGTTTCAATTTTCACTGCTGTGCTTGTGATGTCATCTTGTTTCACTTGTCAGCTTCAGATTGATGTGCATCTTCAGCTTGAACTTTGACATTTTGATTTCGTGCAGTATGGCTGAGAAATTTGGCACACCCTCGGCCACCCTTTTGGTTGTTTCTTTTATGAAACCGTTCTCGCCATTTCTTTCTTGGGGTTGGGGGTTTTAGCTCTCCCATTTCATCCCGGCCAAAATGGCTGCGGCTTTTCTTTTACGAAAGAATCCAGTTTGATCGATGCTCTTACGCATTCTCTGTCACTTGACAGAGATGGCATTTCTCCACCTTTGCAGTTAAAAAGAGAGGAGCGCTTCATTCTGGTTGTCTTCACGTGCTTCAGTTGCTTTTGTAAACTTGAATTTACGTGCACGCGTAGCGGCGTAGCGTAATAGGTTTTAAAATGGAACAAATAAATTTGAAATAAGAAACCGCAGCTGTATTGGTCCAAGAAATAAATGGACTGTCACTTGTGATAGTTTGTTATTTCGTGGAACCAATAAAAACCAAAAGGAATTTTTCCTCTGTGCTGAAAAATTTCTTGCTGCGGTCCTTTCTCTACAGCTTGTTATCTCTGCCAGCGCTCCTGCACTGCCAGTGCTTTTCCTTTTACCCTCGCTCTTTGCATTCGGGTTCTGCGCTGTCTTCGGAACTTGTTTGAGGGTTCAGCCTGAACTCTTTGAAAAAGATGATGGCCTTATTGTGCAAGGTCTGTTGTCTTCGCTGTGCAGATGTTTTCTGCACTGCGTGTGCGCCGCGTCTCCGTAATGTAATGGTACTCCTCTCTACTTCGCTGTCCTCGCTTCTCTACGCGTCAGCGTTTTGCGCTGTGGTTTGTTGTGTTTTTGCAAACCTCAAACAACTGTTTTTTATGCAAACACTTTGGCAGTGAATGTCTTTCAGTGCTGTGTTGTGTTTCATGTTTTGACACCAAACTGTGTTCCATGTTTTTGAACAAGGTTTGTGTCTCTGTCAATTTTTATAATACTGAATCCACTTCATTTTATGTTGTGTCCGCAACATACTCTTTCAAGGTGTGGGTGGGTGGGACCTCAAATTTTTATGAGGAAACCAAATAGCATGGGGGGCCGTTGATGGATTTTCATCGCATTTGGGCTGAGTGCCCTGCTGACAGTTCTTTGAAGTTGCCTTGGGAACATGGATTCTGGAAGACAGTTTTTGAGGGTCCAACTGAGCCCAATGGTATCATGGACTGGAAAGTAGCAGAGCCTCCACTTTTTGTCCCTTGTGCCTCCCGCGCTGAACCGGCGCCTGCCAAGAAGCTTCGTGTGTCAGAGCCTCTGTCATGGCACCACATTGTGCGTTCAGGTGCTGAACAAACGTGGAAGGACAAACGTGAAGCTGATTTTCAAGTGGCATTACGTCGTTGGCATGATGTTTTGATTCTTTTGCCTTGCAGTATCATCGTGGTTCAACAGCTTTTGCATTTGAAAACAACTGCAGAGAGATTGCGTATGTTGAGGGATGTTTTCTGGAAGAAAGCGCCCAGCACGCTTAGGAAACGTGTGCATTCATTCTTGAGGTTCACTTCAGACTTGGAAACACGTCGAATTGCATTTCCTGGCGCTGAAGCAGATTTTTATCAGTTTTTGGATGGACTCAGAGTTGCCGGAGCCCCTGCATCTAGGATTCAGAGCATCATACAGTCTTTGCTCTTCGTGCAGCATGTTGTGGGTGTTCAGGAACTTGATTCCCTGACGTCATCCAGGCGATGTCTTGGCGTGTCAGGTTGTCGCAACACTGGGCCGAAGCGGCAGGCTGATCCCTTCAAAGTCACAGACTTGGTAGCGTTGCACAGTGTTCTTTTAGACAGCAGCAGAGACAGTTGGGATCGTTGCATGGCTGGTATGATCCTTTTAGCTGTTTACTCACGGAGTCGTTGGAATGATCTACAACAAGCTGAGTCCATGTTGTTGGATTGTGGCCCAGATGGAGTGGTTGCCTATGCAGAGCTCAAGATAGCAGATCACAAAACGAAACATTCAACTGCTTTTCGAAATTGTTTTTTGCATGCATGTGCTCCTGCTGCAGGTGTTGTCGATGACGACTGGATCACTGTTTGGACGCAGGTCCGTTCTGAGCTTGGAATTTCATTTGAAGCTGGCCATCCAACTATGCCAGCACCTTTGGAGGACGGTGGTATCAGCATGAGACCCCTCAGCAGTGAAGAGATGAAGCAATGGACATCAATTCTTTTGCATTCAGTTCAGATTGAAACAGATGGACGTAGGTTGACGTCGCACAGTTGCAAGTGCACTTTGTTGTCCTGGTGCTCGAAAAGAGGATTGCCCTGGGAGGATCGGCTAGTGCTTGGAGGTCACACTTCGGCCGTGCGCTCAGCCTTGGTGTACGCTCGTGATGGCCTTGGCCGCCCATTGCGCATGCTCGAGAAGCTGCTCTTGGAGGTGCGGCTAGGGCGTTTCTTGCCTGACGCTACAAGGAGTGGAAGATTTCCTGGGCCTTTTGCTACAGCACCAGATTCTGACGATGGGGCTCACAGTGAATTTTCGTATGCTCCAAGTCTTGGTTTTGGAGACCCGGTTGATGACACAGCCAACAGCACCTTTCATGATGGCTGTCTGAAACCTGTGGAGCCACGTGACAAGAGTTCAGAAGGTCCCCATGCAGCTCTTGAATGCAAGGTTGAAGCCTCTGGATCCGTTTGGGAACTGGCAGATAGCAGCGAGGTGATTGACTTGGACACTTGCTCAGAGGACAGTGGATGTTCAGTTGCCACCACCTCGTCTAGCTCGGATGAGGAAGCCGCTGAGCTCAGCAGTGCCAGACGGCCAGTGCATCCACCGAAAGTGCCAAACCAGTTGAAGCTCTTGCAGCACAAGAAACTCAAAACGTTGCACCTCATGGAACTGCAGAATCAAAGGATCATGCTTTGCGGGAGGGTGGCTGAGCCCAGCCGATACGAGAGCGTGCAGGAGACAAGATTCGACACTCCGTGTTGCCACACTTGTTGGCGGAAGATTCCGGAGTATGCTTGAGGTCGTGCTCATTGCTGACAAAAAGAGCATGGACACTTGAGTGATTCAGTCGTGCAGTTGTAGGCGTTTGCGGTTTTTCAGATGTCAGTTCACTTGCCAATGTTCTTGGTGCATCATGTGAACTTCATTTTTGAAATCTGGTGATGTCAGAAGTTTCGCAACGGTTTCAAATCAGATGCAACACGTCATGACCTCAGCGTGAGTGACTTACTCAGGTATGAGAATCATGTCACTGCATGCATCAAAGAGTTCATTTGTGACGTCTGTTGTTTATTTGCTGCACCAGTGAAATCCAGGGTAATCTGTCAAATTTCGTTTGACCACCCTGCACTTGGATTCAGCGGCCAATCCATGGCAAGTCACTATGTGTGCGTCCTGGGCTCAATCATCCACCAAGCAGATGGTGGGAAACATGATACAGAAGCGTCCATTTTCGAACGAAACTGTTGAGAACACAATTTTTTGCAAACGACATCGTTTTCAGGACAAATTTCCGAATGCAACTTTTTATGAGTGAAGGCCTTGAACCTTCAGACAGGTACTATGTGAGCCCAACAAGGTTTTTGCAATCGCATGTATAGTTGTCGATGTTTCTCCAGCAAATAGATTTCCGATGCATTTCTTTTGAAAAAATGTTTACAAGTTGACGTGTTGCAAGTCATTAGCAAGACTGCTTCCCGATAGTGACTGTGCGAATCCTTAAGGGACTTGCCGTGCTGCCATGTCACTGATAGACTCAGAGGCCGCTTTTCAAAAGCGATGTGATGAGTTGTTGGATGGGCTTCATGACTGGTTCAGTCACTTGCAGATCACAACGTTTTCGAGCTTGGCATTCACAGTTGGCACTCCCCAACACCCAGTCTCAGAACATGACATGCAAAGATTTGCTGATCGAGTTGTTCAGGGTCCCGCATCCATTGCCGAGGTGTCAATAGTTAGACGCATTCACTTTGAGGCACAGACATTGGTGATGTCAGATATCAGGAAGCAGGCAGTGGCTGGTGACACTTCAGAACCATCGAAGTCCTTGCCTTACGTTGAGAAGAGGCGTCGGCTTGAGGCGCAACAGGCTAGGATCACTGGCCTTTCACACATGCATGAGCAGAGAGCGTCACATGGCCTTATTGACCTGTGTTTTCACATTGTTGAGTCGGGAGCCCTTTTGTATGTGGCGCCGTCCAAGTGCAGTTCCAGGGATTCAGAGATCCAAGCCGATGCCAAAACCAGACAGAAACAATTGTTGACTCTTGAACAGGGGACATTGAAGACTGTGTCGGCTGAGTCCTTGCCGACCGTTGACGTTGGCACTGAAATGAAATTGATGTACGCACTGCAGCGTCGTGGATTGGCATTTGATCTTGTGGGATTGATGTCATTTGATGCGCATTCGGAATGGGTGAACAAACTCTTCAGGGCACTCATGGCTGACACTCCAGCGCATTTTCAGGCGCTCAGCTTGCAACAAATCATTCGTGCAGACCAGGAGATGTTCCTTTTGCTTGCTTCAGAATATGATGGACCCCTCAAGTCAACGACGTTAGATGGAGAGCCTCCGTTGGATGCACAGCTTCGTGTTTATATGACAGATCCAAGGGTCAACATGTACTTGGTTCCAGCTCCCCTCAGTCAGAAGCGTCCAGCGCCTGCAGCCAGTGGTGGCGACAAGCAGCCACAACCTCCAGCAAAGAAACCGCGTCAAGGATCCAAGACGCCTGCCCAGTTGCCAGCTGAGTTGTCAGGCCTCCACACAAAGACATCAGACAACAAGCCATTGTGTTGGAATTTCAATTTGAACAAGGGATGTGCAAATGCAACCAAGAGAGGACGCTGTCGCTTTGGTTTTCATTCATGCATGAAATGTCTGAAGGGAGGACATGGGGCACACAAGTGCCACGGCAGTTGACAGGAAGAAAACCCAACAACACAGCTTGATGGCAGTAAAACAGGAACACCTGTGGCCGCTGGGATCTCAGTGACTCCAGTGGATCAAGTTGTGAACGTTGGAACTTCTGTGAATGAAATTGCGGCTGAAACGTTGCAACCTTGCAGTGTCAATTCAAGATGCATCATCTTAGAAATTTTTGCCGGCAGTGCTCGTCTTTCCAAGGCTTGTAGGAAACTTGGATTTGAGGCTGTAGCTGTTGACCAAACGAAGGATCGGTCTGAGCAGTTTCCTATTTTTCAAATTGATGTGACAAACTCCCAAAGCTTGCATGACTTGGAGAGTTTCATCGATGTAGAGAAAGATGCAATTTTACACGCGCATTTTGCGCCATCGTGCGGAACAGCGTCTCGAGCCAGGGGACGGCCAATACCTGGCGAACATCCCAAAGCCGGGCCTCAGCCACTTCGGTCCGAAGTCTTTCCTGACGGCTTGCCTGATCTGAGCAGTCATGATCAGGCACGAGTAGACAAGGCCAACCGCAGCTATAGTGTGACTGTGCGCTTAATCAACAAGCTGATTGCACATGGCATATCTGTCAGCATCGAAAATCCCAAAAACTCCTTTTTCTGGAAGTTTTCAAACGTTGCAAGACTTTTGGAAACGTTTGGTGCTCGACATTTTTCAGTTTTTCATCATTGCATGCATGGCGGCAAGCGTGACAAGCAGACAGCGTGGTGGAGTTGGAATCCGCGAGATGCCGAAAAAGACATGTTTCAATCGCTTGCATTGCAGTGTGATGGACAACACAAACATGAGCCGTGGCGGCCTTACAAAGATGTTCACGGCCGGACGGTTTTCCCTACAAGTGAAGAAGCTGCGTACCCGCAGTTGCTGTGTGACCGCGTTGCATGCATTCTCAAGGATGAGGCTCTTCGTGGTGGCTTCGTTTTTTCAGATGACTTGCACCAACAAATTCTGGAAGTGCCTAATGTTGCCACCAGGCAGCTTTTTACAACGCAACCCAAAGGGCAAAAATTGAGACCACTGGTATCCGAATACGGCAAATACATTGCCCTTCTTGCGTCAGCAACAAACGAATTAGAGGTACAGAGTTTTTTGCAAAAGCTGCCCAAAGGAGCCAAAGTTTGTCATCGTATTCTGTTTCCTGGGGGTGTTGCTCGAGATGACATGGAACGCAGATATGAGGAAGTTTTCCAAACTGATTCATGGGAAGCCGGTGAACCATGTGAACTCTTGCAGGTGGGTATCCCTCGTGAACCGGCTGACTTCATACGTGATGCGGTGCGGAAAGGTCATCCGAGAGATATCATTGCGCAAGTGCCCCAAGAGATTAAGACTGTTGTGCATAGCATGCTGAATGGAGATATGCTGGGGCGCTTCAAGTCGAGGGCCTCCTTTTTGAAAAAATGGCTCAGGCGGTCACTTGAGTTAAAGAATGAGGAGCAGGCCTTGCACCAGAAGCTGCCCCAACACTTGCAGCGCATTCTCGAGGGAAAGCGCCTCCTTCTTTGGCGTGAGATCTTGGTGGATTTGGATTACCCGGATGTGGCAGTGATTGATGACATTTGCAGTGGCTTCAAGCTTACGGGGTGGGCCCCGTCTACTGGTGTTTTCAGGCCGGACGTCAGAAGACCGTCCCTTGGGGTGCAACAGTTGATCAACATGTCAAAAGGCTTGAATGCCTCAGTTGTTAATTCTCTCCAGGGTGCGGCTGAATCCGAGCACGATCAGCTTGTTTGGGATGAGACTATGATGGAAGTAGACAAAGGTTGGCTGGCTCCTAGCTCTATGGAAGGAGAGTGTTTTGTGGCCAAGCGTTTTCCAGTACCTCAGAAGGAAAAGGTGCGACTTGTGGACGACTTCACGATATGTGGCGTGAATGGTGCCTACGGTTTGAGAGAAAAACTCCGTGTCCAAGCAGTGGACGAGCTATGTGCTTACTTGGCATTCATGTTGGATCAGGCACCATGTGGATGCCTCCCCAAGCTCACTGGCCGCACTTACGATTTGAAGTCGGCCTACAAGCAGTTCGGTGTGGACCAGTGGCATGCAGACAGACTCAAGATCGCGGTCAAGCGACCTGGTGGAGGGGTTGGCATTTTTGCCGCCTTGGCATTACCATTTGGTGCCTCCGGCTCAGTGAGTTCATTCTTGCGTGTGGCGGCCAGCCTGACATACATAGGAGTGGTTGCTCTCCAAGTCTTGTGGACAAGCTTTTTCGACGATTACACTTGTGTTTGCGTGGAGGGTGAAGAGACGAACGTGTCTTTTTATGTTGATTCCCTCTTTCGCCTTTTGGGAGTGTGGTTTGCGGAGACTGGCTCAAAGGCGACTTCCTTTGGGCCCTCCTTCAAGTCGCTTGGAGTAATCTTTGATGTTGGGGCCATTCATGACGGCACCTTCGCACTACAGCATACCGAGAGCAGGAAGTCCGAGCTGGTGCAGCTTCTTGACAATCTGATAGGTGCGCAGAGGTCGACACCCAAAGAACTTGAGAGGCTCCATGGAAGGCTGATCTGGTTTAGTGCGTTTGTCTTCGGCAGAACGATGAATCAACTTGTCAAAGCCATCTCGCTTGAGTCTTTACAGAAAAAGAAGGTGATCACCTTCACCCCAGATTTTCTTCAGACCTTGACGGACTTGAAGCATGCGATAGGGTCCTCTAAGCCTGTGGTGATTTCTAAAACTCTTTGTACCACCTGGTATGTCTTTACTGACGGCGCATATGAGCCTGATTCAGATGTTCTTGCCAGCATTGGTGCAGTCTTGATTTCACCGACGGGTACTCCAGTTCAGTGCTTTGGAGAGGTCGTCCCTAAGACCTTCGTGGACGAGCTATTACAGCATTCTTCTCATCCTATTTACGAGCTGGAAGTGCTTCCGGTAGTCATGGCCACACGCCTGTGGATGAAGTATCTCACAGGGTGCCCCACAGTATACTTCCTTGACAACGTTGCGGCCAGAGCAACGTATATCAAAGGTGTTGGTGCTACGCCTCCTTCCATTCCTTTGCTCAAAGACTTTGTCCGTTTAGAGGCTAGGTTGAAGATTTATTCGTGGTTCGGTCGAGTGCCGAGTCATTCGAACGTAGCGGATTCTCCAAGCCGACTTGTCTTTGATGACCCAGTCCTGTCGGGCTGTCCTCGAGTGCGGATCGTGCTTCCAACTCACGTTCATGAAATTGGGGATGGCTCAGGGTGAGTTGGAAAGCCATTCCAACCCAAACAACCTGGTCGATCGTTCCCCACAGCATGGTAAAAAAAGGATGCGTTGTCCGAGTGAATTCGAGGGTTCTTATTTTCATCCATTGCACATGTCATCCGTGAAACGTTTTTTGTCACACATGACTGTTTGCGTGGTTACATGTTGTTTTGCATGTTTCGTTTGGCGATGCGATCCGAAGCGACGTGGCGTTGGTTTTTGTTTTTTGTTTACACCTTTTTATCCACACGATGGTGGTGTGGATCAAGGTATTACTTTATGTTGAGGGGTACTTGGGGCGTGGCGCTTTAAACTGACCTGTAATAATAAGCCTGAACTCTTTGAAAAAGATGATGGCCTTATTGTGCAAGGTCTGTTGTCTTCGCTGTGCAGATGTTTTCTGCACTGCGTGTGCGCCGCGTCTCCGTAATGTAATGGTACTCCTCTCTACTTCGCTGTCCTCGCTTCTCTACGCGTCAGCGTTTTGCGCTGTGGTTTGTTGTGTTTTTGCAAACCTCAAACAGCTGTTTTTTATGCAAACACTTTGGCAGTGAATGTCTTTCAGTGCTGTGTTGTGTTTCATGTTTTGACACCAAACTGTGTTCCATGTTTTTGAACAAGGTTTGTGTCTCTGTCAATTTTTATAATACTGAATCCACTTCATTTTATGTTGTGTCCGCAACATACTCTTTCAAGGTGTGGGTGGGTGGGACCTCAAATTTTTATGAGGAAACCAAATACCCACCCTTGTTTTCCCACCCGGTTTCCTCCGGTCTGTCTGACCTTTGTCTTATTCGGTCCGTTTGACCACCCTACTTTTTTGCCTCGAGTTGGAAAGCCATTCCAACCCAAACAACCTGGTCGATCGTTCCCCACAGCATGGTAAAAAAAGGATGCGTTGTCCGAGTGAATTCGAGGGTTCTTATTTTCATCCATTGCACATGTCATCCGTGAAACGTTTTTTGTCACACATGACTGTTTGCGTGGTTACATGTTGTTTTGCATGTTTCGTTTGGCGATGCGATCCGAAGCGACGTGGCGTTTGTTTTTGTTTTTTGTTTACACCTTTTTATCCACACGATGGTGGTGTGGATCAAGGTATTACTTTATGTTGAGGGGTACTTGGGGCGTGGCGCTTTAAACTGACCTGTAATAATAAAATCTTTTCCAACAGCCAAACCCTGTTTCAGTTGAACCTTCAGTGCATTCATGTTTTGACTTGTAATGCTGAAACTTCACTTGTGAACACTTGACATCTCTTGATTCTACCTGTGGTGTTTTCCATTTCAAGTGGTGGGTAGGTGGGTTCGTGTTTGTTTCGAACGGGCTTTTTGTCCCACCCACGCCACCCTAAGCCCTTACCCACTACCCACGGGGGTCTTTGCACTTGAACTCCCTGCTCATAGTCCTTTCCCTTGTAGTCCAAATAAGTCATAAGCCAAATCCAGTGACCACCAGCACAGGGTCACTTATAAATGCCTTACCCAAAAAGTTTGATGAAGCCAGCCTGGCTTCACTTTCCAAACGGCATCCATACACAACCTGGTGTGTGGCAACTTACGAGGTACACATACCCCGGACTTGACCATACGCAAATTAATTCCCAAGCGGTCAAGAAGAAAGATTACTAAGTGCGCTCGGCAGTGCTGATTCACTTTTGGTTCTTAAAAAATTTGAAACAAGAAACCGCAGATGTATTGGTCCAAGAAATAAACCTCAACAAAGTGCTGCTGCAGCATCATCTGTTGTGCCGAGATCGAGCAAGCGCGACACAGAACATGAGGACTCAGGTGGGGATTCAAAACGTCTTCACTCTGAAGGTGCTGATACGCAGATGCCTCATGGAGATGTTGTGCCACAGACACCGCAGTCTGAAGCTGGACGTGATTTGGTTGATGACACTTCGTTTGAAGACATGATGTCTCCCAACAAGATTGCCAAGCATGGCGATGGTCCAGGCAGTGTCAATTTGCTTGGACAACTGCGACAGATTGAGCATCTGGACATCGAGCCCGATGTTGTTTTGCAAGAGCAAGATTTTGAGTTGAATCTTGATGAAGATCCTTATGAACCTGTTTCAGAGCTCAGCAACCGCATGAAGGAACTCAGTTATCCTTACAGCCCACAAGAGCCACAACTTGAACCCGATGAACTTCAACGACTGGACAGCATTGCAGATCAAGTTGAGATTGAACGTTTGTTTGGTCTTCAGTCTTCATGTCTTACTTGAAGACACCCTACCTGCTGATGCGAAGTGCCTGAGCACACGTTTTGTGCGCACTTGGCGCGAAAAGAAGGACGATGCTGGCAATGCAATCTGGTTGAGGAGAAGCAGACTTGTGGCAAGGGAATGCACTTGGTTGCAACCCGACAGAGAAGCCTTGTTCTCACCGGCTTCATCCAACATTGCAACCAGGATCTTGCCCATTTGTTTCCTTGCTTTGAGGGAACATCAAGAGATTTTGATGCTTGCAATTGATGTGAAGGATGCCTTCTTGACAGTTGAGCAAGAGCAACCCATACGTGTCAGGTGCACTGACGCAAGTGGAACCTCGATTTCCTACAGTCTTGGCCGAGTTCTGCCAGGTCAACGTGATGGTAGCCTTCTCTGGCACAAAGATCTAGTGAAGCTTCTCGAAAGCAGCAGCTTGAAAATGGCCGAGAATGAGGCCTACCCGTCTATGCTGCGCTCAGCCAAAGGTGATTGTTTGATGTTGGTGCACATCGATGACATTCTCATCGTGGGCTCTAGGAAGACTGTCCTAGAGGGGCTTATTCCGTCACTGCAGGCGAAGTACACAGTTTCCATTGAGATCATGTCTGGACCAGGTGATGAGGTGGCGTTTTTGAAGAAAACACACCAGTTGTTGGCAGATGGGAGGATGATCATTCGAATTCATCCCAAACATTTGGATCAGCTTTGCAAGTTGCTTCATTTGTCAAAACGTTTGCAAAACAAGCGATCTCCTGGCCACAGTGAAATTGAAACTCCTGACGCCACTGAAGAGTTGAACCAACATGATGCTTCGGTGTATCGATCCTGCATTGGGATCCTGCTGTACTTGTCTCCAGATTTGCCGCAATGCCAGTACGTGATCAGATATCTCTCAACTTGTGCATCAAAACCCACTCACAAAGCTATGGTGGTCTTGAAGCATTTGGTTGGCTACATGGCAGGACACTCTGACCAATATGTTTCTTTGAAATGGAAGGGCATGCACTCAGGCTTGCTACATGACTATGAGTGTGAAGAGCCTGTTCTGGAAATCTTCAGTGACGCAGACTGGGCTGCAGACAGAAACACACGCAGATCAGTTTCTGGCAGTGCAATTTTCTATGGTGGATGCCTGGTGTACTCGTCATCAAGGACCCAGAAGATCGTGTCACTGTCGAGCGCAGAATCTGAAACATATGCTGCCGCTTCTGGATGCCATTCTCATCAGAACTATTCTTTGTTGGGTGCTCCAAGTCCGCATTCTCATGTATTTGTACTTGGATTCATCTGCAGCGCGTGGAGTCTTGTCACGTCGAGGTGTTGGAAGACTCAGGCATTTGAGCTGCAGGGTACTTTGGCTCCAGAACTTAGTTGTTGAAAAGATGTTGCAAGTCAAAGCAGTTTTGGGCACAATCAATCGAGCAGATGTTTTAACAAAACGACTTTCAATTGCCAGGCTGGAATCATTGATGTTTCTTTTTGGGCTTTGGAGCACTTCACAAAATCAACTGGTAGGATCAGATGACCCAGGAAGAATCTTCAGACACTTTCCACAGCAATCAGCATCAACTTCAAGTCGCAATTCGCAACTTCGAGTTTTGATAGGCGCCTTGAGCCTGCTCACCCTTCAACTTCAAGGGTGTGACGCCATGTCAACAGACATGCTGGAGATTCTGTACGTGTTCACAGCAGCATGGATTGGACTTCTTGGTGCTTACTTGCTCTGGATTTCACAGTGCGCAAAGGTCAGAAAGGGCACACCGAACAGCCCCAGTTTTGACTCCATGGATGGATCTGATGATGCTGACACAGCAAGCATCATGACAGAAGCCACAGAAGACACTGACCATTTTCCTGCTTTCTCTCCAGAAGGAATGATCAGTTGGATGTTCGAAAGGTGCAATCGACGTTATGAAGATGCAGCTCGGGCTGGAGACGCTGTTCGCGCTCAAGCCTACAACCAGCGTCGAGCACTACTGGCTGATTTCATGAACTTCATTGGAGCTGCAAATGACTCTGAACGGGATCAGGCAACTGAGATGTTGAATACAATTGATGACATCAGCAGTCATGAGAGCAGCCCCGCAAAGGACATGAACGAAGGTGAGGACAACCGTTCCCACAGAATGAGACTTGGCCACCTGGCCTTGATCAATTTGCAAGGCGCTATGGCCACACAACTCCAAAGATGCAGTTGGGATGGATCCACAACTTCAGATAGCTGTTGGTTTGGAACAGCATTTCTGATGACCTGGACTATGCTTTTGGTTACTCATGGTATATGATGCGTCGTAGCATGGACTTCAGGTACACTCCAGCACCATTGTTACCTGACACTCTGTCCACTTTCATGGGACCACAGGTGACTCATGAGTATACAAGCTTGGAAGGCCTTGTCACGTGGACACTTGTGCGAGTGCGTGGACGTCTTCGCCGCGCCACAGAGAATGGAAACATAGGTGCTGCAATGAGATACCAACAGATGCAACGATGGTTGGAAACTTGCTTGCATCACCTCCCTACTGCAAGCTTAAAAGATCGGGAAAAGACTTTGAACTCCTTGAGTGAAGAGTACGATTTGTCAGAAGATGACAACTCACCGACTTACAGCCTTGGAAGAGATGAACGCAATCTTTCGACAAGCCATGAGGAGATTCACAGGTGCATTGTTAGGCTTCTGGAACTTCAGTGAGTTGAAGTGACAATGGATCTACTGCGCACCTTTGCAGAGATCTTCAGAACTCCAGAGGTCCCTGACCCTGACTCAGACGAGTCGATGCGTGCAGAAACACGCTCAGAGAGTTTGAGAAGGTATCAGGATGCAGATCAAGGAGAAGTCAGCGATCCAGATGCATGGGCCATTTTGCACTATGGACGGCCACCAGTTGAATCAGCTGACGAGGAAACAGCAGAAGAACTGCAAGAGTTTTGAAGGAACTTTGACAGTGAGAGAAGCCAAATTTTCAGATGACGCCACACGTGTTTGTCATTAGGATGAGACACAGGACTCTCATCATTGGCAACAGCGTCAGAACGTTTCACAGCACAGAAACCCCAACAGAAGTGAGATGATGGGCTCACAACAGTCCTAAGGGGTGTATAGCAGCATAGCATTAGAAATGCAAGCTGAGGTGGGGTGCAAAGGTTTACCGCACTCTGCATTCAGCTGTGATACAGATTTCTTTTGTCAGTTTATGACAGTCACATGTCATGCATAGCAGTTGGATTTCAGATCTCATTCGTGAGGCGCTTTCGGTTCCAAAAAGATTTGCATACTTATATGTTTTGTTCTCATGTTCTGTGTACGACAGCGTAGCATCACGCCTGTGCGCAAGTGTGCTTGAACGTTATTTCCCCACCCCATCCCACCCCCCTACCCCATCAGAGAAGTTGGGGCCCCTCGGGTATATATATATATATATGTACATGTAGAATAATACGCTATGTACGATACATGTTGTATATATATATTGTGGAGTGCGTTGGCTTCTTTAGTTGCCATTTCTGTAAAATCCAGGAACTATTTCTTGCACAGGTAGAAACCATTTGCTAAATTCTAGAGACCATTTGCTAAATACTAGAAACTATTTGCTAAATACTAGAAACTATTTGCTAAATACTGGAAACTATTTGCTAAATACTGGAAACCATTTGCTAAATACTAGAAACCATTTGCTAAATACTAGAAGCTATTTGCCAAATTCTGGAAACCATGTGCAAAAAACTAAAAACCATTTGCTAAATACTAGAAACCATCTGCTAAATAAGTAGGATATGTAGAAACTTTTTTCAAGTAAAGTAGAGCATGTAGAAACCATTTGCTAAATCATGTTGATTTCCCAGAAACCATTGCTTGAATCAAAGGGGTAATATTTGCAAGTAAAAATTGATATTGACCATGTTGTCAGGGCAAACCTGGTCAATCTTGGAACACGCATTTGCCAATGGTAGTTTGTGGTGAGAAAGAACTCATGTCTTTACCGCACATGCCAGTTTAATAGTACTAGAGCCTCCTTCACCCATGGCTCACCACACTGAAACTGTTGACGCTTGAAACTTGAAACCATCTAGAATCCAATTGGGAGTACTATCGCGCCATACCAGTTGCAATGCTGTTTCAATCCAAGAAAGGGTGTGTCAAACAGCAGCATAAACACATACCCTGTCCCAGCGCAGTTTTTGCCAAATGCACAATACAACGCCGCGAATAATTCCACACGCGATACCCATCAGTTGTGGGATCAAAAAAAATGTCCGGTTTCGTCGGGAGCCTACCAGCTTAACCTTCCTAAGAGGGAAATATGAAAGGAAACTAGTTCTTAACTCCCAGAAACTATTTCTTAAATCCTGGAAACTATTTCTTAAATCCCAGAAACTATTTCTTAATTCCCAGAGACTACTATTTCTTAAATCCTGGAAACTATTTCTTAAATTCCAGAAACTATTTCTTAACTCCCAGAGACTATTTCTTAAATCCCAGAAACTATTTCTTAAATTTTGGAAACTATTTCTTAAGTCCTGGAATCTATTTCCTATTTTTTTTTAAAAAATCCTAGAAACTATTTCTTAATCTGGGCCCCAAACCCAGAAACCATCTACAAAACCAGGATTGCTTTTACCAATCAATCCCAACCATTGGACAAGGATAGCAGTCAATCACTTAAAGTCCAGAGATTGCCCCAGACAAGTGAGCCATGTTCTCACCGAGAGAGAGAGGCTGCCACGCAGGCACCCTTCATTCTGTTTCGTTCTATGTTCATTCTGTTTCGTTCTATGTTCTTTGACTCCTCATCTCAGAATCAGTCACTGTTTCTTTCTTACTTTTCAATCTGTAAGGAGTTTCAATATGTCATAATGTGTCTATATGACTATATGTGTCTATATCTGTCAACTTAGGTTGATGTCACTCTTTTGGAAAAAGATGAAAGCCTTATTTCTCCAAACAAAAAATTGTGAAGTCTCACAAATAAGGATCAACAAGAATCCTCCCTGTTTGGTGGTGAACAAACATTTGTTAAAGGTTGAAACATCCAACCAAACATGGTGATGCAAACAATTTGGCGTTCTATTCCCATTTTCAATTTCTAATTTTCGATGTGGCATTCAATAATTCCATTGAAAGCAAACCACATCCTTTGCACGTCACATCATCAATTGTAATGCTGTGGCTTTTCCCAATCAAGTGGTGGGAGGGCGGGAGTCCCTTTTAAATAAGGGCAATTTTTTGTCAGTGCATGGTTGCTCGTTTTCGCGCCGACACATTGAGTGACAAAGGGCGCTGCGCACTTCAGAGGCCTTCTTTGCATTCCTCGTCGTGGTTTGGTTTTCAATTGGCCAGTGGTTTCTGTCTTGGAGTCATAGCAACTTTTGTTTGGCTTCTGTGGGACATTGAAGCTGATCATCCTGGTACATGATTTCACAGTACGACTTGCAAACTTTTAGCCTCGGTGATTTGATATTTTTATTGCGACTGCTCAGCACTGCGTTACATTGTCGTCACAAGTGCTATTTTCACCGGCACAATCGTGGATATGGGTTCTGCTGAATCACAGTTGGCTGCCGGGGTTTTTCCGGGTGATTCGCAAAGAGATGAGGATTCGCCACAGTTCCTTACCCCAGATCTGCTGGAAAGGACTTGGTTGGACCTGGACCCAAGTCCAGACCTAGATATGCCTTGGGAGAAAGGGATTTGGGGAAGCATCTTTTGCAACAAGCCATTTTGTGTCAGCCCTCAACAGAAATGGAAGCGTTTGGCATGCCCAGCAGACCCGCAACGGGAACAACTGGAGAAGCCTGCAAAGATGCCCAGGCGAGTTTTGGTAGCTGACCACTGGAGGCAAATCGTTGCCAACACAGATGCAATTTCTTGGAAAGAAGACCAAGAGGCCAAGATGGATGTTGCTCTGAAAAGGTGGTTTGACATCATTTCGCAATTTCCCGAAATTCACGAAACAGTGAAACAGTTACATCTCTTAGCAGGTCTTGCCGAACAACTTCGCATGCTCAGGGACATTTTGTCAGGGAAGGCTCCAGCCACGTTGATCAAGAGAGCCAACTCCATGCTCAAGTACATTGAGAAGCTGCGAGAGGCCAAGGTCCAAGTTCCTGGCGACGAGTCTTTCTTGTATGCATATTTTTGTGACTTGAGAAACAGCGGAATTGCCTTGAGTCGACTCAGATCTATTGTTGAAGCCATCAGATTTACAGAATTTGTTTTTGGCATTGAAGGGCTCAGTCAGAGACTGCTTTCTAAGAGGTGCATTGGTGCTTCCAGAAGAGTGGGTGAGACAGTATTGAAACAGTCTGACCCTTTCACTGTCGAGCAGCTTGCGATTTTGCAT